TGGGTGAACTTTCTGGCTAGAGGTGCATAGACTGAACTACACATTTCAAGAACCTACACGGCTTCCTGTCCTCAGGTCAAGTAGTCTCATCAGGACCCTATGAGTGACGGCTCTGAACCCTCCTCTGTCCTGAGCCAATCTCATTGTCTCTGACACACCTACCTCCATCACCCCAGACTCGGAGTTAATCCTTCTAGTCCAGGCTCTTCCTGGCCAGCGTTGTTCCTCCACACTTCAACTGTAATATCCTTACTGAAAGACTGGTCCTTCCTGGCTACATGCACAGAGGATGTGAGAAGAGCCTCAAATCCTTGACTCAAAGGAGCAGCTTAATTTCATCAACCGCTCAACAGCCCTGTTCTCTACTCAAAAGTCTTGCATGATTGCTTGGCCATCCTTGGTCACCACCCAGCTCTCAGATATACAAGGAAATAAGCAAACACACTTAATGTACACATTCCCCTGACCTGTACACGACCAACACAAGTACTCAAATGTCCTGAAGAGATTACATCTATGCACAGCGGTCTCTAGGGAAGCCGAGGAGGCAGGTATGGGTGGAAGTCAGAGGTTCAACACAAGACAGTTTAAACAGCACACCTGCACTCAGGACAGGAGCCTGTGTGTCATCTTCTGAAGCAGCAGAAATCCATGTTCATGAGATTTGAAGCCAGAGGCAGGAGTTGAGAAGTCCCAGAGGTAAGTTCAAGAGCCCCATGGCATACGTGGAGGATCAGGGGTGGTGTTGAAATGAATTCCTCATCTGCTGACACCACCTGAACGTTGCTTCTTGGCTCTCTAACATGTTAAATACTTTTATAATAAGCTGTATTCTTAGAAGGACACTGCTGATAATCAGCTAACTCCAGCACAGGCCACCCTCTTAATCAGCAGTGAACAAACGACATCTTTCTTGTCCATCTCCTAAACGGATTTTGTGAACAGTGTGGTTTTTGAGCATGGCTAGGTCACTGACGGATGCTGAACACACCATCCACACGGAGTCTGCTGTGAAACTATAAATACATAACACCAAGTAAAACACTAGCACACCCACCATGTATGGAAGAATAAAACAGTTCACTATGACATGGGAGATAAGAAAAGCCATTCATTAAATAAAACCTCTTGTACAAGTGAGATCTTTATTAATTCCATGGAAAATATCAACCACTAAGTGAAAATATATAAAGAGGACTTTCAAATTTTATATTCATAACAAACCTAGTGTTCTATCAGGAGATGAGAGAAGCTTAACAGAAGCTAGAATTCACCCTGTGGCACATAGGCATGCCTTAAGAGTGAACATTAGTCTTCCTATTTACTGAATCCCTCCCTCCTGAGACAAGCATAAAGTAAACAAGAGAGAAGAATCAGGCCTTATCCGAAAAGACTTCCCCATGATCCCCTGTTTTTGTTTTATCCTTCCTTATGATTTTGCTCTGTGCACCTTCCTTATTTTTCTCAATAAATAATCACGAAGCATGGCTTGGGGTCTTTAGTGAAGAACTGCTGGCCACCTGTTTTTCACACTCTGTTCCATTTCATTGCTGGTAGGCTGTCTCATTATTAATAATATTAAAAATACTTTACCGTCCATCTGCAACACCTACGGTCGCTCTCCTGAGTGAATTCTTCTATGTACAGTGAGATTACCTGATGGAGAAAATATTTTCCCACATTCCTGACATTTTTAAGGTCTCTCTCCTATGTGGACTCTTCTATATACAGCAAGGGCACCAGAATCTGAAAAAGCATTCCCACATTCCTGACATCAGTAAGGTCTCTCTCTGTGAATTCTTCTATGTATAGTGAGGTGATCTGATGAATCAAAGGTTTTCCCACATTCTTTTCATTCAAAGGGTCTATCTCCAGTGTGAATTCTTTTATGTAACGTAAAGTGACTTGACTGTGAAAATGTTTTCCCACAGTCCTGACATTCGTAAGGTCTCTCTCCTGTGTGGACTCTTCTATGTACAGTGAGAGTACGTGAATCTGAAAAAGCTTTCCCACATTCCTGACATTGGTAAGGTCTCTCTCCTGTGTGGACTCTTCTATGTACAGTGAGGGCACCAAAAACTGAAAAAGCTTTTCCACATTCCTGACATTCATAAGGTCTCTCTCCAGTGTGAATTCTTCTATGTAATGTGAGGTGACTTGACTGTGAAAATGTTTTTCCACAGTCCTGACATTTGTTAGGTCTCTCTCCTGTGTGGACTCTTCTATGTAGAGTGAGCGTACCTGATCGAGAAAATGTTTTTCCACAGTCCTGACATTTGTAAGGTCTCTCTCCTGTGTGGAGTCTTCTATGTACAGCAAGGGCACCTGAAACTGAAAAAGCTTTCCCACATTCCTTACATTCGTAAGGTCTCTCTCCTGTGTGGACTCTTCTATGTACAGCGAGGGTACGAGAATCTGAAAAACTTTTTCCACATTCCTGACATTCGTAAGGTCTCTCTCCTGTGTGGACTCGTCTATGTACAGTGAGGGCACCTGATCGAGAAAATGTTTTCCCACAGTCCTGACATTCGTAAGGTCTCTCTCCTGTGTGGACTCTTCTATGTACAGTTAAGGCACCTGAATCTGAAAAACCTTTCCCACATTCCTGACATTGGTAAGGCCTCTCTCCTGTGTGGACTCTTCTATGTACAGTGAGTGCACCTGAATCTGAAAAACCTTTCCCACAGTCCTGACATTTGTAAGGTCTCTCTCCTGTGTGGACTCTTCTATGTACAGTGAGGGCACCTGATCGAGAAAATTTTTTCCCACAGTCCTGACATTCATAAGGTCTCTCTCCTGTGTGGAGTCTTATATGTACAGTGAGGGCACCAGAATCTGAAAAAGCTTTCCCACATTCCTGACATTCATAAGGTGTCTCTCCAGTGTGAATTCTTCTATGTAACGTGAGGTGACTTGATCGTGAAAATGTCTTACCACAGTCCTGACATTCATAAGGTCTCTCTCCTGTGTGAACTCTTCTATGTTCAGTGAGGTTATGAGGCTGGGTAATTATTTTCCCACATTCCTGACATTCATAAGGTCTCTCTCCTCTGTGAATTCTTCCATGTTCAGTGAGCTGACTTGATTGTGAAAATGTATGCCCACATTCTTGACATTCATAAGGTCTCTCTGCTGTGTGAACTCTTTTATGTCGAGTGAGCGTGCCAGATTGTGAAAATGTTTTCCCACACTCCTCACATTTGTAAGGTCGCTCTACTGTGTGAACTCTTCTATGTTCAGTGAGGTTATTTGATTGAGAAAATGTTTTCTCACAGTCCTGATATTCATAAGGTCTCTGTCCTGTGTGAAGTCTTCTATGTCTAGGTAGGTTATTTGATTGAGAAAATGTTTTCTCACGGTCCTGACATTCATAAGGTCTCTCCCCTGTGTGAACTGCTCTATGTGAAGTGAGGCTCCCTGATTCAGAAAATGTTTTCTCACATTCTGCACATTTATCAGGTCTCTCTCCAGTGTGAATTTTTCTGTGTTCCTTCAGATCAGCAAACCGTAGTAACGGTTTCCCACATTCTTTACATTCATGAGTCTTCTCTCTTGTGTGTGTTCTTGTGCGTCCTCTAAGATGAGAAAAGCAATAAAAGGTCTTCAAACAGTTCGTGCAGTTATAAGGCCTCTGTCCTCTGTGAATTCTTCTATGTCGAATGAGGTGGTTGGATTTTGAAAATCCTTTCCCACATTCCTTACATTCATGTTGTCTCTCTCTTGAGTGAAATCCTCTTTGTTGACCAAGGTGATCCAACCGTGAAAAGGTCTTCTCACCTTGCATACAATGAACAGGTCTCTCTCCTGAGTGCATTTTGGCATGGAGATTTAAAAGAGCTAGGAGATGAAAAGCTTTCCCACACTGGTGACACTCATAAGGTTTCCCGTCTGTATGTGTTCTCGCATGTCTCCTTAGGCATGACAAAGAACGCAAAGATTTTCCACATACCTTACCATTATAAGGCTTCTCTACACTGTCAATGTTTCTCTTTACTGTGCTGTCTGAAGTACTAGTAAGAGGGGCAGAAGAAGAAAAGGGGTTCCCATTTTCAATATACTCATAAAGCTTTTCTAGAAAATTAAACCCTTCTTTGGAATCTAAAGGGAAAGGATTCCTATAGGTCTCAGCACATTCTGTAGGTCCATGTTCATCTATCACATGGATCCAAAATGAAGAGAAGGTACAGAAATCTTTGCCACATTTCTTACATTCATGGCTGCTGTCACCAAGGTCACTCCTCAACAGTTTGATGTCGACACGCTTGCAGGAATAACTTGGAAATATGATGCGCATTTTCCCAGGCTGCGTGCCTTCAATCGCTTCACACACCTCATGTACTGTTCGACTTCTGGGAAAAATAAATATCACACAGCTGTAAGTGAGTGTGTTTCTGTAGGCCCACAATAAACCCCGATGAAGATGTGTGAGTTTAACTTCTCAGAGTCTCACATGACTTCATTTAGCAAAAATATAATTCCTAGAACGGCATTTATAAATTTAATTACACTTTCTGATACCAGTTCCCAAGGTCACAACGTTTCTCATGAGTATTTATTGTGTTTTGGTATTTGTTTTTTCATCTTCCTGATACTCACCTCCAATAGTTCTCTTTGAGTTTATGTAGATTTTCTTTGCCACACAGTTTTACCATTTTCCGTAACATGGAAGACCAAGGGTGGGTCGTCTCAAAGAATGTCAAGTGAGTACATTCAGGGGATAAT